TAAAAGATGTTGGCTAACCAATCACCTTGGGTTTATTAGGGATACTTTTTTTTTTTTTTTATGCCAGAATGGTTTGAGCCTCTTCAGTTTTCTGAAAAAAAATGAAGACTTTGCTAATATTTTGACAGCCAATAAATTTAAATCATCATTATATTAATAGAATTTCATGGAAACACCTTACCTGTATCCTTTCCAACCCTTTAGAAGTATGGTACTTTAGCATCTACTTAAAAGCGTGTGTGTATGTGTGTGCACTCAGTTGTGTCCAACTCTGCGATGCTATGGACTGTAGCCTGCCAGGCTCCTCTGTCCATAGAATTTTCCAGACAAGAATACTGGAGTGGATTGCCATTTCCTACTCCAGGGGATCTTCCCAACCCATGGATCAAACCTGTGGCTCTAGAGTCTCCTTGCTCACTCATTGGCAGGCAGATTCTTCACCATTGTGCCAAGTAGCTACAGTCATATATCATGGTAATATCATTATCATGGTAATATACAACCTAGCTTCTGCTTCTGTTTTTTCTTATATTCAGGAATGTCCTTCTCTTCAGTTAGTCAAGGAAATACTGAGTGACTCCCCCTTTTGACATATCTTTTTGGTGACAATGTGGTAACTACCAGGTAGTGGGTGAGGGCTGGGGAATTTGGCATGATTGTATGAAAAAGAGATGGCAGATTAGTGTGGTATATGATAATGTGAAAGAGACTCTGCTTTTAAGGAACTTACAGTCTAGTAGTAGAAGCAGAAAACAGGAAAATAAAAAATTACAGGACAGATTATACTCAGGGCTAGATCAAATTATAATCATGTAATGGCTAATAGAGCACTGAGTTCTACCAGGGGGAATTAGGAGTTTCATAGGAGTACATTTTGAGTAAGCTTTGACGAATGAGTAGAATTTTGGTGGATGGCAGAGAGGGCATCTGTGTAAACCATTCAGTTTAGTTCAGTTCAGTCACTCAGTGGGACTCAGTTATGTCCCACTCTTTGTGACCCCATGGACTGCAGCACGCCAGACTTCCCTGTCCATCACCAACTCCCAGAACTTGCTCAAACTCATGTTCATCAAATCAGTGATGCCATCCAACCATCTCATTCGCTGTCGTCCCCTTCTCTTCCTGCTTCCAATCTTTGCCAGCATCAGGGTCTTTTCTAATGAGTCAGTTTTTTGCTGACCCTCTAATGAGTCAGTTTTTCATCTCACCCTTTTCTCCCCTCTACCCCATGTCCATAAGTCTGTTCTCTATGTTTGCTTCTCCATTGCTGCCCTGCAAATAAATTCATTAGTTTAATCTTTCTAGATTCCACATATATGCATTAGTATATAATATTTCTCTTTCTCTTTCTGACTTACTTCACTCTGTATAATAGACTCTAGGTTCATCCACCTCATTAGAATTGACTCAAATGCATTGCTTTTTTATGGCTTAGTAACATTCCATTTATAAATATTTATTGAGCACCTCCTATGTGCTAAATACTGTTCCAGGAGCTGAGGATACTTACACAACTAGGTATAATACTATGTTTATGGAGTTTACTTTCTAGTAGGGAGATACAGAAAATAAAATGATCTAAATCTATTTTTCTGTGAAGTGCTATGAAGAGAAATAGAGTGGTAACGGGGTTATGAAGTTTCCAGCAAGTGAATGAATGAGTGTGTGCTTACACTTACAGAGGGCCATCAGGAGAGGCCTCTCTGGTAAGGTGATGTTTGAAGACAGACCTGAAGAACTAAAGGAGTGAGTCCTATTGATATCAGCAGTCAGAGGGAACAGGAAGTAAATGATTGATAGGGTCTCTGGATGAATGTAGGAAGGGATGAAGCTGGAAAGATTGTGGTTAGATAGGTCTTGGAGGGCCCTGCATTTTATTCAGTAGCCAGTAGGGAGTTACTTATAAAGTTTGGAGGACAGGAGTGACCTAATAATAAACTTACTGAGTACTTTCCTGTGTGCCAGGCACTGTGTCAAGAAATTTACATGCATTATACTATGTTTTAATTCTTAGAACAACCGTATGTGGGTGGTATTATAATACTTCCACTTTGTAGATAGAGAAACTGAGGTTAGGGGGGTTAAGATACTATTATGGTCTGAATGTTTGTGTTCCCCCACAAATGCATATGTTGAATTTCTAATGCCTGATGTGATGGTGTTAGGACATGGGGCCTTTGGGAGATGCTTAGGACATGAAGGTGGAACCTTCATAAATAGGATTAGTGGTCTTATAAAAATGTGTCCGCATGAAGTTCTCTGACCGCTTCTACCATGTGAAGGCATGGTGAGAAGGTGCTGGCAGTGAAGGAAGAAGGGTCTCACTAGACTGCAACCATGTTGCAGCTTGATCTTGGACTTGCCAGCCTCCAGAACTATGAAAAACAAGTTTCTGTTGTTTATAACACCCCAGTTTGTGGTATATTGCTGCCTGAATGCTCTGATAGGTCTGGTGGTATTAGAAGATGCTTGCAGTAAGCTCCTTTCTCTACCAGGCCACCCAAAATAAATATATGCACTCAGTAAAATCAGCATGCTTATTATACAAATACAGTTTTATGACAAGTCCCTTAGTCACCTCTTCAAACTAATTCCTCTGCTAAACTTCCTCCTGTACTGAAATTCTGGAACCACCACTGGCTCCAGGTCACCAACTAGTGGAGCCAAAACCTAAACCTTAGATTCCAGTTTAGAGGATTTTGCTTGCAACATGAATGATAGGTTTGAAGCTGTAATTGACAAGACTGTTCAGCTGCAAAAACTTCATCTTTCATGAAAAAGGAAGGATGACTCAGGCTGGAGCTGTATGCCAAGGGGTATCACTCCCAGGCTATGATACCTCATAGAATTTGGAATTGCTTGAGACTGAGGTGACTCCTTTTTTCCTTCTAATTTCTCGCATTTTGAATGGCAGTATCTGTAACTGTTGCTTTGTGCCTGTCCCACCAGTGTGTTTTGGGATAGAAAACTTGTTTTCTAGTATCACAGGTCTGCAGATAGAGATGAATTTTACCCCAAGATGGATGGATCATACCAATGTCTCACACATACCTTGTTTGTATGAGGAGATGAGACTTTCGAGCTGATGATATTTTAGATGAACATTTGAACATGAGTTGATGTTGTAATGGATTGAAACTTGGTTGCTGGCATGGGGTAAATGTACTTGCATGTGAGATAGATGTGAGTTTGGGGAGGTCAGAGGGCAGGCTGTGGTAGGCTGAAAAATGTCTACCAAAGATATCTAGATTCTAACCCCTGGAACCTAAGCATGTTACCTCATATGGGATCTTGTGGATCCTTAAACTAAGGATCTTTAGATGGAGAGATCATCATGGATTATCCAGCTGGGACCTAAATGTAGCCACAAGTGTCTTTATTATAAATGAGAGGTGGGAGATTTGACACAGAAGATGTGATTTGATGATGGAACTAGACATTGGAGTGGTGTATTTTAATTGAAGAAGGAGCCACCAGCCAAGGAATATAGGCTGCAGCTAGAGATGGAAAACAGCAAGAAAGGGATTCTCCTTTCAGATTCCATAGAAAGAATCTTCCCCACCAACACCTTGATCTTCGCTCAGCTAAACTGATTCCAGACTTGTGGCCTCTAGAATTTACTACAGGATAAGCTTGCATTGTTTTAAGCCACCAGATTTGTGGCAATTTGTTACACCAGTCACAGGACATGATCAATTGTTAAATTAATTTGAAGTCTTATTAATACTTTGCTAATCCTTTTTTGTTGTTCAGTCACTAAGTCCTGTCTGACTCTACGTGGGCTGGAGCCATGTAGAAGCCCCAGGTGGCTCAGCTGTAAAGACCCCTCCTCCAATGTATGAGATGCATGTTCGATCCCTGATCTGGGAAGATCCCCCGGAGAAGGAAATGGTAACCCACTACAATATTCTTGCCTGGGAACTCCTATGGACAGAAGAGTGTGGCAGGCTATAGTCCATGAGGTTGTAAAGAATCAGACACATCTGAGCGATTAAACAACAACAACAAATCTACTGTTTATTATATTCAATCTGTCTCTATATTTCTTTCAGTGTTGTGATTTTGTTTAAACAAGTCCTACAAATTTTGTGATGGGTGCTTATAGAGAATGGGATTATTTTAAACACTTTTTTAAGAGGGAAGCTATTTTTAATTTATTTTAAAGAGTAAAACAAATGACATTTAATTATTTGGCTACACTGAGTCTTAGCTGCAGCATGCTGACGTGCAAACTCTTAGTTGTGGCATGTGGGATATGGCTTTCTGACCAGGGATGGAACCTGGGTTCCGGGCATCAAGAGCGCAGGGTCCTAGCTACTGGACCACCAGGGAAGTCTCAGTAATTTTTCTATTGGAAATACTTTTTGTTCCTTTTTCCAGATTAGCTCAGCTGGTAAAGAATCCACCTGCAGTGCGGGAAACCTGGGTTTGATCCCTGGGTTGGGAAGATCTCCTGGAGAACGGAAAGGCTACTCACTCCAGTATTCTGGCCTGGAGAATTTCACGGACTGTATAGTTCATGGGGTTGCAAAGAGTCAGACACAACTGAGTGACTTTCCACTTTCCAGAGTAGATATTTTGATAGACTATAGTTTCTTTGGTATCACAGTTTGTATTTATTTGCTCTTTAAAAATTTTAGCTCAATTGAAGTTCTACTGGCATAGGAAATAGCAGCCTGTTCCAGTATTCTTGCCTGGAAAATTCCATGGACAGAGGAGTGTGATGGCAGTAGTCCATGGGGTTGCAAAGAGTCAGACACGATGGAGTGACTGAGCATGCACGTGCGTGCACACACACACACACACACACGAACATAGTGAGTACCCCAAATCACTGTGTTAGTTAAGTGTTATCTTTCTTGAATTTCCCCAAGGAAAACTAATAAATCTACACAGTCTTTATAAAGCTCTGGATTTATAAAATTACATTATAAACTGTTGAGCGAATTTTTTTGATCTTTGCCTTACTGTTAAGCGTTTTTACTGTCCTGTTCTTTCAGAAGCAAGGCTGGCACTGAAAAAATATATTGCAAAGGTCTCTGCAACTGTTACAGATACAGAAAAGGGACCAGGGAAGCTTTATAAGGAAGACAAGGTACAACATTGTGCTTATATTTTGTTCTGAAGTCTTTTGAGATTTTTGCCCTTTGTATCTAACTCCTACACTAAAGCACTAGAGGTAGGTGGTGGTCCTCACTGCTCTGTTCTCCTTCCCTTCCTTCCTTTTTTTGCCTTTCTTATTAAACTGCTGACAGAAACAGCATTAATAGCACTGGCAGTGTTCTTGTTCTGTTGATTAGTGGGGTCCACTGATACTCATTTCATTAGTTTGCTTCAAAACTTACATATACATCATATATTTTGGTCTATATGTTTACATATATACTTATATACACTGCCTATTTTTTCATGTATCAAAATTTACATAACAGAAAAATACACAGGTGTAAAGATAGCTAATTGTAAAGCCAGCTTGCCACATTTGCCATATACTAAGTACTACATGTGAACTAGTTAATTTCTTTTGATGTACACTAAAAAAAAGGTATGCTAAAGGTATTAGAAATGTGTTTGGGTTTTGAATTATTTCTTTCATTTCTGGGCAGAACATTGTGTGAATTTTCTGTGACTTTTAATTCTTATGAAAAAGAATTAGCTATTGCTAAAAGTGTGAGACATCAGCAAGTCTGAGAACATGATAAGACACACATTTCACTTGTTTGTAAAACATTTTACAAAATCTCTTATGAAATAAAGTATACATAGAATGCTATTAGAAGAGCTGTTGTATCTATTAATTTGCAAAACAATCTTTCTGCCACAAACAGTGCTTTGTTTTTCAAACTAGTTACTATAAAAACCTTTTTAATTTCAGTTTTTAAGTATTTGATTATTTGAGCTAGAAAATATTATGTATCTATACTAATGGTTAGATTAAAAGCAAAACATCTAAAGCAGGCTTAATAATTTTCTTTTTACCGTGTTGAATCTTATTACCCTGTGATTCTAATAGCAATTTTGTGTTACTCTCAGTATACTTTTCCTTCACTTATATAAATATATATATGCATAAATATAGTTTTATTAATATGAGATTTTGCTTTTATAAAAATAGGATCATACTATACAAATTATTCTTTAATTTTCTCCTTTCCTTTAAAGAATATATTATGGACATCTTTACAAATCCACTTCATTCTTTATACTTCTGCAAATAATGTTGCTTATTTAATAATATGGACAGGACATGTAATAAATTTATTCATGTCTCCTTGTTATTACAAATCATAGAATAATGAACATCTTAAATCAGATACCAGCAGTTTGCTGTTCATGTGCAAAGAGATGGTTTTGAAGTGCAAATTGAAAGGTTTTCAGTGAGGTTTTGCTCATTTTGCATTTCTTGCACTTCTTCATCCTGTGAATCACCTGAGAATGAATAAATATTGGCATTGTCTGTTGAGTTGCATGAAGTGCACACCATCCACCTACTTTTTCTAACTTTTGCAAACACTGTTATCATAGTTCATTTCAGTTCAGTTCAGTCCAGTCGTGTCCGACTCTTTGTTCAGTTGTGTCCAACTCTTTGCGACCCCATGGACTGTAGCACGCTTGGCTTCCCTGTCTATCACCAACTCCCGGAGTTTACTCAAACTCATGTCCATTGCATTGGTGATGCCATCCAACCATCTCATCCTCTGTTGTCCCCTTTTCCTCCCACCTTCAGTCTTTCCCAGCATCAGGGTCTTTTCAAATGAGTCAGTTCTTCACATCAGGTAGCCAAAGTATTGGAGCTTCAGCTTCAACATCAGTCCTTCCAATGAACACCCAGGACTGATCTCCTTTAGGATGGACTGGTTGGATCTCCTTGCAGTCCAAGGGACTCTCAAGAGTCTTCTCCAACACCACAGTTCAAAAGCATCATTCTTCGGCACTCAGCTTTCTTTATAGTCCAACTCTCACATCCATACATGACTACTGGAAAAACCATAACTTTGACTAGACAGACCTTTCTTGGCAAAATAACGTCTCTGTTTTTTAATATGCTGTCTAGGTTGGTCATAGCTTTTCTTCCAAGGAGCAAGTGTCTTTTATTTTCTTGGCTGCAGTCACAATCTGCAGTGATTTTGGAGCCCAAGAAAATAAAGTCTGTCACTGTTTCCATTGTTTCCCCATCTATTTGCCATACAGAGCTCACTGAAAATAAATAAATAGGGAGAGCATGTAGACTGGCCCAAGGCATCATGACTCTAGATTAATGAGTTTCATTATACACACATTTCACTAGTGTTAGTGCTGCACTGGCAGATACAGTACGCCCTAGCCTCATGTGACTATAAATTAGAATTAATTAAAATTAAAAATTCAACTCCTCAGTCACACCAGCCACTTTTCTAACGCTCACTGGCTATATGCATCTAATGGTGACTGTATTAGACTGTGCAGATATTTCTGTGACCATTTCCATCATCACAGAAAGTTCTGTTGCACAGTCCTGGTTTAGAGATAATATAGAGTTTCCTTTTTAAATAAACAAGTGGAAAGTAAATTCCTTGTTTCTGTCTCTAGAATATTCTCCTCAGTGCATGCCGTCTAAAAAATGAATGGTTGGAAACCCATTTGGAAGCTTCCATTAACGAGCTCTTTGAGCAGAAACAGCAATTGGAAGATATTGTGACTCCTATCTTCACAAAAATGGCTACACCACGTAAGTTTTGAATAAAAATGAATTGAAATTGGATAAAAATTAGATTCAGTGTTGTTATTTCTGAGATAATCAGATTTCAACAATCTTCATTAAGTAACTATTAACCTCATTATAAGCTCTAATCCATAACTCAGTTTCATTCAGTTCCAATATTAATAGCTAAAAACAATGACTGAGTTATTTCTATAGAGAATGTCTAGTACTAATCTTATTACCGTCACTAATCATTTAATTTTATGTAATTTGCTATGGTTTTGACTAATGATTTTTCAACCAGAAAGCATGCCTTTGAAGGAGACAGAGAGGCAGAATTTGAAAAAAAAATTGTTTTTTTTTCAGTGATGAAAGTCTATAGTTTGAAAAGCCTGTTGTGGGAATACTGTACTGTCATTGGAGAAGGTACACTGTCAGAATCTTGGTGGCACGTGTACCTAAGATTTTAAAGCTATCAGCTTTATTGAGATAGAATTCTCATACCATAAAATTCACCATTTAAAAATGTCCAGTTCAGTGGTTTTCGGTATATTTTCACTGTCTAATTTTACTGCATAATTTCTCCATTTTACTACCCCCAAAGAAACACCATACCCATTAGCAGTCACTACCCATTCCTTGGTTCCACAAGTCCCTGGCAACTGCTAATCTACTTTTTATCTCTATGGATTGCCTGTTCTGAACATTTCATAGAATCATACAGTCTGTCACCTTTTTGTGTCTGGCTTCTTTCACTTTGCATAATGTTTTTAAGGTTCATTATGTTATAATATATGTCAGTATTCCTTTTTATTGCTAAATCATAGTCCATTGTGTGGATTCAAATTTATCTATTCATTAATAGACATTTGAGTTTCTGTTCATTTGACTATTATAAATAATGCTGCTGTGAACTTTTGTGTACAGATTTTTATGTGACCACATGTTTTCATTTCTCTGGGTCTGTATTTAGAGGGGGAATTGCTGGGTCACATGGTACCTCTATTTCTGACCTTTGGAGGAATTACCAAATTGTTTCCAAATTTCTGTTTTCATAAGCAATATATATAAGGATTCCAATTTTCTCCATGTTGTTATAAATATTTGTTATTATCTTAAAAAATATTTTTTAGCTCTTCTAGTGGGTATGAAGTATCTTAACGTAGTTCCCATTTGCATTTCCTTAATTACTGATGATGTTGAACATTCTTTCATGTGCTTGCTGGCCATTTGCATATTTTCTTTGGAGAAATGTCTTTTTGAATCTTTTGCCTGTTTTTAAGTTGAGTTGTCCCTTGTTTTTTAATTGAACTATATACTTGATTTGTAATATATTAGTTTTAGGTATACAGCATAGTAATTCAATATTTTAATAGAATTTAAAGTTACTGCAAAATAATGACTATACTTCCCTCTGTTGTTCAGTATATCCCTGTTGCTTGTTTATTTTATGCATAGTAGTTTATATCTCTTACTATTCTACCCCTATTTTACCCCTCCTGTCTTTCCCCTCCTACTGGTAACCACTAGTTTGTTCTGTATATCTGTGAGTCTATTAGTTTTGTTACATTCATTGTTTTTTGCAAAAAATTTTTAGATTCCACATGTAAGTAATTGTATATAGTATTTGACAAGACTTTCTGAGATATAGTCTATCAGAGATATTGACCAGTAATTTTCTTTTTTTTGAAGTTATTTTTGACTGATTTTGGTATCAGGCCTCAAAGAATAAATTGGGGAGTATTCCCTCATCTTCAATTTTTGGAATAGTTTGAGAAGGATAGGAATTAACTCTTCTTTGTATGTTGGGTAAAATTCTTGTGAAGACATTCAGTTCTGTCTTTTGCTTTCTAGAAGTTTTGAAAATTAAAAATTCAATTTCATGACTGCTGATTGATCTGTTCAAATTGTTTCTGATTTAGTGTTTGAAAATTTATGTTTCTAGAAATTTGACCATTTCTTCTAGTTTGTTCAGTTTGTTGGCATGTAACTGTTCATAATATTCTCTTATGACTTTTTTATATCTCTGTGATGTCAATTGTTATTTCTCCTCTTTCATTTCTTATTTTGTTTGTTTGAGTTCTCTTTTTTCCTTGATGAGTCTGGCTAAAGGTTTATCAATTTTATTTATTTAAAAAAACTACTGATTTCATTGATCTTTTCTATAGTTTTTTGGTCTCTATTGTATTTATTTCCTCTCTGATTTTTTTCCTTCCATCTGCTGACTTTGGGATTTATTTGTTTTTCTTTTTCTAATTCTTTTATGTGAAGTTAAAAGAAGGTTAGGTGAGTTAGGTTGTTTATTTGAGATATTTTTTGTTTCTTGATGTATTCCTGTATTGCTTTAAACTTTCCTCTTAGAACTTCCTTTTCTATAGTCTGTAGATTTTGCAAAGTTGTGTTTACATTTTCATTTGTTTTGAGGTATTCTCTGCTTTTCTTTTCTTTCTTTTCTTTTTTTTTTGAAGCATGCCAACATTTATTCTCCAAGTGCCTTTCTCTTTGACTTACTCATTGACTCATTGGTTTTTTTAGCAGCATGTTGTTTAGTCTCCACATGTCTGTATTTTTCTTCTTATTGTTGAGTTGTAAAAGTTCTTTCTATATTTTGGGTATAAGGCTCTTACCAGATATATAACTTGCAAATATTTTCTCCCATTATGTGAATTATCTTTTCGTTTCCTTAATTGTGTTCTTTGAAGCACAAAAGTTTTTAAGTTTGATGAAATCTAATTTATCTATCTTTCCTCTTGTTGATTGTGCTTTCAGTGTCATGTTGGAGAAACATTGCCTTGTCTAAGGTCTCCAAGATTTACTTTTATGGTTTTTTTTTTTTTTTGTAAGACTTTTACAGTTTTTTGACCCTTATGTCTAAACATGTCTATGATTCATTTTAAGTTATTATTTGTGTATGGTGTCAGGTGGGAAACAACTTCATTCTTTTGAATGTGAATACCCAATACCTAAGATATTTATGTTTATCAGAAGAAACTGTGGTTTTTCAAAAGTTAAGGTACTGAATGTATCCTCAGTAGTATGGCAGACTGTCCCTTGCCATCTGTATCTAATATTGAATGAGCATACCCACTGCACTCTCTTAGGTCCCTGAAGGGAAATAGATACCTTTACATTGTTCTTGTCTTTCAGGAGTCCATCACCCAGTTTGTGAGTAAACATGTATACTTGAAAGGATAAGCTAAATGCTGTGTAATTCAGGGAGGCCTAAACATAAAGAGAAAGCATCATGAAGAAAGAGGAATTTCCTAGAAGGATAGGTAACCAGGGTGGAGTATATAGGGAATTATGAAATGAAAGCACAATATGATGATGAAAATTGAAATATGGAAATAGGGAAGTGGTCAGTATCCTTCTGGCTGATTGTAGTTGAGTCTGAATTAGGGAAGAGTAGAAAATAAGGTTGAAAGTTAGCTTGTGATCATTTTATTAAAAGTACTGAATTATAAGCTTAGACATTTGGGCTTTACTTTCAGGGCCACGGGATGCCATTAAAGGCTTTGTTTGGAGTAGGAAAAATGTGGGATTAAGTAGTAGAAAATAATCTGGGTTTCCTTGCAAAATGGATTGAAGGCAGAAGAGACCAGAGGGAGTGAGACCAGTGTAGTCCAGGAAGGAGATGGTCACGATGCTTATACAGTCAATTCCCACCTTTCCCTGAGCTATCACTATTGTTAGTCTGGCCCAACAGTCATTTCTCTTTCCCTTATCACCTCTGGGAAAGAATTGCAGAGGCTTCAATCAAGATAGTGATATAGAAGGACATGGAGCTCACCTTTTCCCACAGATCCATAAGAAATACATCTACTTGTGGAACAGTTATCACGGAATAACTATTAAACACTGGCAGAAAATGTCAGAAGTGGCAGAAAACCTAGAAGTGCAGGGAAGATCTCCATGTAACTGGGCAGGATAAGAGAAAAAGAAGGAAGAAAGCAGGACAGGATCGGTGTCCCTCGGAGAGAACTTCGAAAAAGGAAAGGTACCCATGCCCTAGGAAGTCGTCACAGTGGTGGTGAGATCACCCAGGACAGAAAGGGAACTTCAGAGGCTTGGAGGAAAACACAGCAGTCAGTTTGTAGCAGGCAGAATAGAGAGAAACCAGCACAGAGGGCCTGTACTACCTTGCTGCAGTCCCCAGTCAGAGACATGCACCTGCTGGTGTGCGCATAGGCTGTGTGCTGAAACTCAAGCTTCAGAGGACAGACTTGGGGAAAGAACTGGGGTTAGCCTTGCGAAGACAAGCTGAAGGGGCTTTAGTGTTGTATGGACCAAAACCAGAGGTATACGTGGAAGAAGCCCAGCCTGCCATAAAAGTGAAATGCCATTGTTAAGAGGTGTACAAAAGGAAGGACGGGGCCCATCATAGCAGCCTCACTTCTGACAGTCTCATGGCTGGCCTGCACCACCCTTGAAACACAATTGTTAATGCAGGAGGGAAGGGGGTGGTGGGGTCTGCCATAGGTGCTTCTTTCTCAGAGCTGCCTCTTTGAACTCTGTGGGTATGCAAGGATGCCCACACTCAGAGGCAGAGTTGAAAGCAGAGCCCTCTCCTCAATGGCTGTATGATCCACAATACTGTTGCTAGCTTTGCAACTCAGTACCTCTGGGACATGCAAGTGGATAGTGGGTGCTCCTGTGGCTGGGATAGGTCTGGCTTTAGCAGCTGTGGGCTTTGTGTGTGCATGCTCATGAAAGTGGGGCTGGGGTCTGGGCTGCTTCCATATCTCCCAGTCGTGCAACTACTTTGGCCCCGGTGCTTGACTGCAGTGAATTGGCGCCTGTGCATCTGCATTAGTGGCTTTGTGAACATAGTGTGTGAGGGACACAGGGCTGATTGTCTGTATTCCCACAGTGGAGGTGGGGCCCAGGGTGGTGTGCACAATAGTGTTCTTTGTGAGCCCCCACAATGGGTGACAGGCAATACCACCGAGTGTGCTTGCTGGTGAACAGCTCCAATGGAAGAATGCTCAGTGGCTCTTCTTGCAGTGGGAGCACTCCAATCCTGCCTA